AAGGACCCAAAACAATTCAACTAAAGATGGAATCATATTAAGGCCTTCTACAAAAGCCATGGCCAAGTGTTCCAATCAAGGCCCTCTGTCTCCTCACCAGTGCATCTCCAGCATGCTTAGAACAGTGTATGTGTTCAATAAAAGCAATAAAAATAATTCTGATTATATTTTAAAGAGCAGTTGGTAGCTGACTGCCAATAACAATAATGATAACTAATTCTCTTGATTATTTACTTTTTCTCAAGCCCTTCACGTGCATTTCCTTTTAATACTCACAAAAACCATTCAAGGTCAGTAGGTGAGTAGGATTATCATTCTCATTTTACACATGAGGGAACAGGCTCACAGTGGTTAAGGGAGCCAGATTCCGGTCAGATAAACACATATGTGATGTGTTCTAATGTAGCCCTTGGCATGTGGCGTGCCAGGTGTGAATGTCCACTCTTTCCATCCACATTGTCCTGGCCACCTCCTCTGCTGTTGTTGGCTTGGCTGCTTCACAGTCCAGGAGCCATTGAGTATCTTCCAGAACCACCCTGCAAGCTGTGTGTGGCTAAGGTTTAGTAGGAGGAAAGCAGGTGTCTTTGTCCATTCAGGCTGCTGTGACAAAGTGCCATAGCCTGCATGGCTTATAGACAACAGAAATCATTGCTTATGACCTGGGAGACTAGAAAGTCCAAGATGAGGCAGCAGAGCAGTCTGTGTCTGGGGAAGACCCATTTTCTCATAGATGGCACCTTCTAGCTGCATCCCACCTGGTGCAAGGCCAAGGCCGCTCACTGCCCTCTCTAACAGGAGCAGGAATCTCGTTCAGGAAGGCTCCATCCTTAAGACCTCAGCACCTCCAAGAGCCGCACCCCTTAGTACTATCACCATGGAGGTTAAGGTTCAGCAGGAACACAAACATTCCAGCCCTGCCAGAGGGGAAAAGAGGAGAACATTTTTTACTTACAAAACCTTTCACATCTCCCCACCACCCTACTCCTTCATCAAACCCGGCCCGGTACCTCCTGGTCTCTGCAGAAGCTGTCCACTCCACCTGAAATCCCCTTCGCCTTCTCTTTTTTCCTGCCCAAAACCTACTCATCCTGCAAGGCCAGGCTTACAGATCTGCCCCTTGTGGGAAGCTTTCCTGCTCCTCTCTGGGTGAACCCTTATCTCACCATATAATAACTGTTTACTTACTTCTGTCCCTTTTTGCTCGGCACCTTCCTTAGAGACTTGCAGCTGCATTCCCAGAGGTTAGCACACCCTTGCACTCCGTGGGAACCCAACTCATCCTTGGTGAACAAACGAATGGCTTGGAGGTGGCCCTAGGAGAAAACGTCGGGGGTGGGGGGCGCACGGTGCTTCCCAAGAGGGAGAGACACTAACAGAATGTGCAGATGACCGTTTGTGCAATTTCACTGTTGCCACACAGGATGGGAAACTCATTCTTCGCAAACGTAGGTGAGACAACTGACCACGCGCCGGTCGCGCATGGCCACGAACTGCCATGGGGCCGGAAGTGCGGCAGTCTGTTCTGGACAACATGCCTTTACAGTGGAGGGACTTCCAAGCCCCTATGGTCCAGCAGGTGCACGGGAGGCTGTTCTATCAATAAAGAAAGGGGATGCGCTGGGGACGGAGCTCGGTGGTGAAACACTTGCCTAGAGTGTGTGCAACCCTGGCTTCCACTCCTAGCCCCCAGAAACAGGGTGTCCTGATCCCCACTGTTGTGTAAACAGAACCCTCTTCTGTAGAATTTCATTTCAGACCTAACCCATGAGGGGCGGGGCGAGGGCGTGAAAACAGGAAAGAGGAGGCAGTTAGGGTCTGTGTAGCGGTCACACCCCTTTTCCACAAGACCGTGCCTTGGTGACTTTTTACCAATTTCTTTTTAATTTAAAAAGTAATATGTGCGGGTGCGAATGTGAACTGACAAAGCCACTTTGGAAGATAGCATTTGCTAGGGTGTGAGTATGTATGCACCATGCCTCAGCTCCTCTACACCTACGTAGAAACTCGAAGTGTGTAAGAATCCCCCGGGACCTTGTTAAAAGGCAGAGGCTGATTTCAGTGCTTCTCAAAGTTTAATGTGCAGAAGAATCACCTGGGGGACTTGTCAAATGCAGATTCTGGATATAGAGAAAGGTACACACGTGAATCAGGATGCCTGTACAAGAGTGCATACGGCTACATTGCTCATAATTACCGAGCAGGAGTCAGCCTTTTGGCAGGAGGTGTACAGTGTGGTGTATGCACAGGATTATGCGAGAGTGAAAATAAACAGACTTCAGCTGCCTGCAGCAACATGTTGGATCTCAAAGACTTAAAAGACAAAAGGGAGGGAAAAAATACCCAAAGTTGAAAAACAAAAAGAGGCAAAACTACACACTAGATTATTTAGGTGGCAAAATTTGTAGATAACAATGATACCAAATGAGACATAGCGGGAGAGAGGGGAAGGAAGGGGCAGCCAGGGACTTGGAGCTGATGATGGATTCCTGCGGCCTGCCACATCTTACACTGGTGGTGGCCACAAAGGTGTTTGTTTTATCCTGTAAATTGCACAACTGTGTTTTTACACATTCTTGTCTGTAGTCCAGGTTTTATGATTTAAATTTTTAAAACTGCAAAGCTTGTGAAAGGATCCATAGCAAGATGTCAGTCACTCAGTCTCATGGCAGATACTTCTGTCTTCATCCCCGGGGACAACTCACATTACCAGTTTCCTGGCCTCCTGTGCACTCACAAGCTCAAGTCTTGGTGTGTGTGTGTGTATAAAACAAAACTAGTATTAAAATTTCTTTTGTTGGGGTTACATGGACTTTATTCCATTTGTATGAAAGTACCATGATTTAGTTATTGGTTTTAGTTATTACTTTTTAACTATAAAGTAGTACACCCTCTACTTTTTAAAAGAATTGTTACCACCAGAAGCTGTAGTGGTGTGCACCTGTAATCCCAGCACTTGAGGAGGCTGAGGCAGGAGGATTGCAAATTCAAGTCTTAGAGGACTTAGCAAGACCCTGTCTCAAAATTAGAAAAAAATAGAAGGTTCTGGAGATGTAGCTTAGTGAGAAGGCCCTTCAATCTCCAGGACCCCCTCCCCCTAAAAAATAAACATTGCCCAGGATAGTATTCTCTTTCACACATACAAAATTTAGGTTTTCCAATCTTCATTCCCCAAATAACTCCCTGCCTTGCTTAAAATGCACCTAGTATATATTCTTCCAGTACAGTATTCTTCTGTGGATTTACATATATATATTTCACCATAGAAATTACAGAGTTTTTCTTTTGGCACTGAAGATCACACCCCCAGCCTCCTGCTTGCTGAACATGCACTCTACCGTGAGCTGTCCACCCAGCCCCAACATGCCTAGATTCAGACATGTTTACCTCTGTGTATCTATGTGGAACTTGTTTTTCTTTAATGCACCACATCCTAAAGCTCTAGCCAAGTCTGTATTCATAAATCTGACTGATAATTTTCACCTTTTGCCCTGTATTCCCTGAGACAACCAACCTCGGTTTAATGCAGCCACTCCACTATTGTTGGGCACGTAGGTTCTCAGGTGTGGGAACAGACACCTTTGGACATTAATTACCCCGTGTGTGCCTGTCCAAATGTGTCTCTGAAGGAGAAGAGACAGATGGCAGAGTAAAGTTAAAACTGTATGGCCGTGGGCCGGGGGTTTAGCTCAGTGGTTCCACCACATGCCTAGCAAGCGCAAGGTCCTGAGTTCAAACCCTGGTACCAAAAAAAAAAAAACTGCATGGCTGAATCACCCTCCAGAGTGACTGCATATGAATGCTTGCATCCCCACTACCAATGCATTAGAAAACCAGTCTCTCTACTTTTGCTAACAGTAGATGCAATACATGTTCCTAATCTTTATTGATCTGATCTGTGAAAAGAAAAAAAAGGAAATCACGTTGCTTTAATTTGTATTCTCTTATACTTAATTAAGTTGAAGATCTCTTTTTGGTTTTTTCCCAGAATCTACGTTTAACAAGTTCCCCAGGTGATTCTCCTGCACATTAAAGATCGATAAGCATTGAACTCAGGATCTGTTTTTTAGCAAGGCCCCTCAGTGATCTGTCTACACACTACCTTTTGAGACACACTGGAACCAGAATCTGCTTTTTAAGTTAAAATCCTAAGTGATTCTTATGCACTGCAAGTTTGAGAAGCATAGTGCAAATGTGGAATGACTGAGCTCTGCTCAGTATGTTTAATCTTCTCTATTCAGAAAAGTGGAAAAAAAAAAAGAAAAGTGGAAAACAGTATTTCAATTTAGCTTATATTTAATTAACCTTAAATGGGTCAGAACATTTTTTCAATTTTTTTTCTCCATTGTTATGAATGGAACCCAGAGCCTGGTGAAACTAGGCAAGTGCTCTACTGCTGAGCTACATCTCCAGCCCTTTTTATTAGGGTCTTGCTAAATTGTCCAGGCAAGACTTGAACTTGTAATCCTCTGCCTCAGCCTCCTGAGTAGCTGGGATTATAGCAGTGTCCCACCATGCTTGGCTCCTTTTTCTTTCTTTCTTTTTTTGTTCAAAATTTCGGGTGTCATATTTCTCTTTTCTAGGAACTATCTAGTCACTGAATCTCTTTGCTTAGCTTCAAAGGCACCAAAGTGGTTGTACTTTAGGGTCTTGGGTGTTGACAGTCCTTCCTCCAGCAGTGTCCTCCCCTGGTTCTTCCCAAGGTTGGCTATGATGTTCATGTTTCGGTCACTTCTGGCCAAACTCAGTAGCCCACAAATATCCTCCCTCTATCACATCTCTCCATGCTGCTGTGATCCTGGCACCCACCTCTCTGAATGGCCTTGTGTGCTATTCATTCACTGGCTGAGTCCAGTCTGGCTCGGACTTCATTCATATCTCCAGCATGTGGAGCTGAGTGAGGCAAGTGTGGGCTCAAAATGGGTTCAGATGAGGGCCAGGGATTTAGGTCAGTGGTTCCACCACCTGCCTTGCAGGCGAAAGGTCCCGAGTTTGATCCCCGCTACTAAAAAAAAATTAAAAAAAAAAAAATTATCAGATGAACAAATAAATGAATCTTTGGCAAAAGTAATGGTGAAGAAATAAGATCTGCTCCTGTCCAGCTTTATACCTCTTTGGGGAGTCATTCGTAGCTGGATAAACATGGATTTTTGTACTTCTGTATTCACAGTGGAGAGCAGCAGAAGCAACCTAGATATCATGAAGTAGCTCACAGGGAGAGGACTCCAGCAGGGAGGAAGGCCCAGCACAATTCCAGACAACGCTATTGTGTACTTTTATCTATGTCTTTCTGTTAAAAAAAAAAAAAAAAAAAGTAAGCAGTTAGGTATAGTGTCTCCCATCTGTAATCCCAACTACTTAGTAGGCTGAGGCAGGAGGATTACAAGTTGGGCAACTTAGTGAGACCTTTCTTCAAAATAAAAAATAAAAAGGGCTGGGGATGTAGCTGTGTGGTAGAGTGCTTGTCTACCATGTGTGGGGTCCTGAGTTCAATCCCAGTACCAATGAGAAAAGCAAAGAAGGAAGGAAGGAAGGGAGGGAGGGAGGGAGGAAGGAAGGAAGAGCCAGGCAGCCTATATGGATTGAGGGTGGTACAAAAGCATGGGAAATCTGCAACTCAGAGATGAGTAATGTCAGCCTGAGTTGAGTAGCTTGTTTATTTCAAATTTATTTCCCCACAAAATAGAATATCTGTGCCTAGTGAAATAGAACAACCATTATGGATGAATGTTGGCTATTATCATAGGTAACTATAACTCTTACCCTATTGCTATAATTAGTATTAACACTTAAAGAGTACAGCCTAACAAACTGTAGACTGTGCACTCTATGTATGTAAACTCATTCTTCCTCACAACAATAGCTGCCATTTCACTGATGAAAAATGAAGCATAGCAACTTTCTTAAGATCACACGGCAAGGGAAAGAATTAACAGCCAGGACTTTTGTGTGTGTGCGTGTGTGTGTGTGTGTGTGTGTGTGTGTGTGTGTGTTGGGGCTCAAAACTAAGACCTTGTGCAGCCTAAAAACATGCTCTGCCACAGAGCTGTACCCCCAAACAGCCAGGGTTCTAAACTGAGGCAGACTCCTGGCTGTGCTGATGGTTAGTATATTATGCTGCCTCTGGAATTTTTATAATGCTTTGTAAACAATAGCAAGAGACTCTTGTATAATTCAGAGTGGTTCCCTGACCCTGTACTGAGGATGGAACCGGGGCCTCTAGCATTCAAAGCCAGTGCTCTACCACTAGGCTACATCCCCAACCCAGGGGTGCGCTATCTCTTGGCAAAATACTTAAGAGTTATGAAAATTGTATTCATTTTACTTCTGCAGAGTGACAAGGGTTGACAATTCTTGCTCTGTAAAGAAAGTAGGTTACCTGGTAACCACTTTTTAAAAGCCAGGATTGGGCTGGGATTTAGCTTAGTAGTTCCCACGCCTGCCTCACAAGCGCAAGGTTCCAAGTTTGATACCTGGTAAAAAAAAAGCCAAGATTAAGGTGTTTTATCAAGAATGAGGAGGCCAGGGTTTTAGCTCAGTGGTACCGTGCCTGCCTCACAAGTGCAAGGTTCTAAATTCGATCCTTGGTACCAAAAAAAGAAAAGAATGAGGAAGCAACTAGTTTTCCACAGAAACATCCATGGAGAGAGTATTTTGAAATGCATGCTTAGCTATGATTTCCTTGCTGTGTGCTATTATGGCTGAAAACACTGCAAACTAGTCACCTTAAAAAGTTCCATCTGGGGCTGGGGATTTAGCTCAGTGGTTTCGCCACCTGCAGCGCAAGCACAAGGACCCGAGTTCAATCCCCGTACCAAAAAAAAAAAAACTTCCATCTGTATTTTTTTTTTGGTACCAGGGATCGAACTCCGGACCTTGTACTTGCAAGGAAGGCATGGTGCCACTGAGATAAATTCCCAGCTCCTTCTTCAGTTTTATCTGCAAAAGCCCCTCACTGTTTATCAGGAAAGATTAAAAATTATAAGCTCGATTTCAACCAAAAGGATAGTCAACTTGTATAACTGGCTAGTATTATTAAAAAGTCTTGACTTATTAAGAGTAGCCTAGGATATCTGGCATTCATTTAGATTCGTATATCCTAAGATATATGTATTTTTTCAACTTTTCAGTTATGATCCTTGAAATCAAGCCACTAAATCAAACATAGTAATAAGCTTGAAGACTAAAACTTTGAATGGCTATTTAGCAAAATAGTAGAATAACCTTTTCAAAAATAAAACTCATCAATTGTCATTATGTTAGCAGAAAATACTCATATTTTTCACCTTGCTTTTTGTTGAAATAATACGTGAGGGAAATGCAAATTAAGGTATCTTTTTTACCATCATTTTATCAGTATGGATGGCAAAAATTAAAACATTTCTTAATACACTTAGTAAACATTAGGTGGTCACCTACTGGACAAGGCCTGTGTCCTCACTGGCTCCAGAGGCTTCTCCTGTGGGTCCATGCCCCAGCATCCACCATCCTGGAGCACAGGAAAAGATGTTGCTCCACCTTATCCCTTCTACCTTCTTAGGGAAGCGAAAAGTCGTGCCAGATTGCCTGGGGATGACCTCTTACCCCACTGGCCATGTGCATTAACTCAACAGGAACCACGACACTTGTTAGAAGGACCATGGTCCCAGCAGCATTGTCACAATGGCAAAAATGTGCCTAAAACCAATCAGCAGAAGAGGAGGTGGATAAACCATGTGTATTTTCACACCAGGGTATGTCACACTTCAGTCAACATGGATGAACAAAGTCAGCAATCTGCGTGATCTTAGCAATTAGCATGAACTGGGGAAAAAGTAATTCTTGGAAGATTACATAGGCTTTTTATAAAGTTCCTTAAAAATTAAAAATTATATTTTTTAGGAATATGTGTGGTGCAACAAAACTTGCTAAAGAAAAACGGCAAAGGAACGAAGCATCCACAATTCTGTTTGATACTGAATTCAAGGAGAGGGTTGGGAAGGGGACAGTGGAGATCCAGGTGTCCTGGTTAAGGTCCTAGCTTTTGTGGAGAAAGGGGACTTCTCTTGTTATATCATGACAAGCCAAGGAGCAGACAGACAACCAAACAAATGTAGATTAGCAATAGAGCAGTAATGATTGTGTCAGGTGGCAAGGGCTGATTAACCAACCACACACACACACACTCACACATGCCCCTCAGGGGATAAAGAGGTGCCATCTACCTCCCACCCTCCACCTTCAGCACACCCGGGTCAGCTTCCCCAGAGGCAGTACTTTCCTGGCTTATCAGGATCCTAAAACATGCTCCCGAAGGAGATATGATAAACAGGAGCACATTGATGCTTTCAAATGCCTTCTCCCCTGCGTGTACCCAGCCACCTACACACATCCCAAAGAAAACGAAAAGTTGTCTTAAGGTTAAGGCTTGAAAATTTAATATTGAGTGACTTCACCCAGGATGACCCAAACTAAGTCCATGCACAACTTGAATCATCAAGGGAAGCAAGGGGGAAACAGCTTAGCTTTGGAGAAATGTCAAAATGCTTCTCACGGGCCCTGCCCTAGGTTTGCCAACCTTCACCTCGAAAAAGGCGCATATCCTGGGCCCAGCCACCCACCTGGGACTTGCCACTCCATAAAAAACCTACGGAGGTTTAAGAGTGCGGAATCCCACCCCACCTCCACGCCCAATTCGGAACGGAACCTGGCTGGCTGTTGAACAGGGCTCCCACGTGATTCTCAGGTTCGGGCAAGCTCGGGGCGCAGCCGTCTTAAGTAACTCCCAATTTAAGGAAGTAAACACCCGGGAGATGTAGGTGGCTTTCTTGCTCCCGGTTGGGTGTCGTTAATATCTTGCAAGGAAGGGTAACCCCCGGGTCTCACGAAGGTCCCAGCTAGCCTGAGCACGAACTCCAATTAGGCCAAACCCCGGGGGTCAGCGCCTGTCGCCTGGTGGGCGGGGCCTGTGCCCTCGCGGCCCCGCGCGCCACCTTCCTGGAGCGGGGGCGGAACCGCGCTGTAGGAAAATGCAGATTCGTGGCCTCGGCCGCCTGAATCTAGGACTTTCTCAAAGTACATTGTTTTCAATCGGCGCCTTCAGAAGCAACAACTCGTCCTGCTGCTGGAGGCGCTCTGGTCTCCTATAGGTTTTATACTCGGGTATGCAGCCAAGGTTGAGAATCACGAGATGAGGCCGTTCTTAACCCTCGCTGTGCAGCAGAAAAACCAGGGAGCTTTTAAAAATACATCTCTATGCCAATGTCCAGGTCCCAGCCCAGACCAATTAAGTTCGAATCTACCAGCGCCACGACCACAGCGTCACCCAGGGGAGCTCGTTAGAAATACAGAAGCTCGGGCCTCGCCCCGACCCGCCGAGTCAGAATCTGCATTTTAACGAGATCCCCAGTGACTCGGGCGCACATTAAAGTTGGAAGAGAGCGGTGCTTCTGAAATTTTAATGGGCAAACGAATCACCTGGGGATCTCGTTAAAATGCAGACACGGTTTCTCAAACTGTAATGCGCTCACGGCTCACCTGGGGATCTCGTTAAAATGCAGATTCTGATCTGGCGGGTCTGGGGTGGAGCCCGAGAGTCTGCATTTCTAACGAGCTCTCGGGTGGCGCGAGCAGCCGGGCCGCGGACCCCCGGTCCCCTGGACCCCTGAGGTCCTGGCTCCAGGCCAGTCCGCCGTCAGGGCTGTTGATAAATCGCCTGCTCGGCTAAAGAGTGGCAGAGCCGGGACACGCGCGTTCCGCGGGGGGGGCGGGGATCCGAACTCCGGGACTCGCTGTGTGAAGTAGGCCACTCTGGGACCCGCCGGGAGCCTGTTCCTCTCGCCATGTCGCGGCGCAAGCAAGCCAGACCCCAGCATCTCCACTCCGGGGAGCCGCAGCCCGCGCGCCCCGAGGTCGCGGAGGGGGCCCCGCAGGTGGCGGGGAAGCCGGGTGAGTAGCGCCGCTCGGGCCGAGGCTGGGGGCAGCTGCCGGGAGGTCGCCCGGACCCGTGCAGGTTCAAGGCCTGGGCAGGGGCTGGGAGCGGCGAGCACAACTTCCAGCCCCAGGTCGGGGCCTCGGACCCGGGCGCCCTTGTGAATTACTCCTCTGTAAGTTATACCTCCGGGGGTACCGGGCCCCTCCCTCGAGCGCCCAGGACGCGCAGGAAGGATGCACTGAGACCCCCTCGGAGGCTGTTCTCGGGGCGTCGGGCGCCCGATCCTCCTCCTCACTGGCTCAGGCTGCGCCCGGGAAGGTGAACATTCTGGGCGACCTGGCCTTGAATGAGGATAGTATCTGGCAAATGCTCTGTTCCTACCAGGGGCCCAGCCTGCCTCCTAGGGCCGAGGAGGGACGGAGCAAGGGACCAGAGGGAGAGAGAAGAGTCCAGTCCTCCCGGAGTTCTAGTCCAGCGGGGCCGAGACTCGGGAATCGGGATAAACTGGTAAAACCAGAAAAACGCAGAAGTGGGGGTGGATGAGGTACGGGGCGCGGGCATCTCCAGTGTATTGTCCGGGGAGGGTCTCACCGGGGGGCCTGACGGGGGACCGAGGGTGCGAGAAACCGCGGTCCAGGAGGAGCCAGGAGCGCTGCCAGGCTGGAGCCTGAGAAGTCCCGGAGGTCTGAGACCTGGTGGGCCCGTGGGCCCCCGTACGGGTTCTGCGTTCTGTCCTGGGAGCCTTGGGGGTGGGGTCCAGGGCAGTGGGCTCGTCCTGGCGGCCACGTGGACCCTGGGTAGGACGGGGGTGGGAGACCTTGGCTACCCTGAGCCCCCGGGCCACCACCCGCCCCCGCTGTGGTCTGGGGATCCCCGGCTGGAGAAGCGCCCGAGGGAGGGGAGCTTTCTAAACGGCCGCCCCCCTCGGTGCCCTCGGCTGCACGCCCCCCATTGGAATCCCGGGGGCGGGGCTGGGGAATCTGCTCTTCTAAAGCCAGCCTGGAGTGGGATCCTACTTCCTCTTCTCGGCCGTCCCTTTTTCCTGAGCGCGGGGAAGCCCTGAGGACTTCTCACTGAACTTTCTCCTCTTCTCCCCATTGTTTGCCCGGCGCGGCAAGGTGGGGTTATCTTTGGGGTCCCGGGTACTTCACGCCGCGGAGCCGCATCTTCCTCCCCTCCCGACCTGCTGTCGGAGGGCTTTGAGGACCACCCCTCTCCAAGGCTAATGCAGGCTCTTCTGGAGTAATCGTTGGTATTTTTAAGAGTAAAAATAGAGCAAAATACTGTGTTGGCCGCTGTGTCCGAATTTAGGTGGATTGGAACTCTAGGGGCTCCTGGGGTAGTAGACCGCTGATGCCAATCGGGGGAGCTGGGAGGTCCGGGAAGGGAAGCGATTATAGAAGGGAATTGCTGAATAGCCGGGAACGGGTTCAGAGTTAATTCCTGCAACAGACCTGCCAGCTGCAGCCGCCCCGTGGGTATGCTGTCAGGGGAAAGGCGTCCCCCCAGAGAGGCACCTTGCAACTGGGTTCAGACCCTGAACAAGGGCCCAGCCTCTCTGTAGCAAGGTTGCACCCCTCTTCATTTGCCAGTAGGCTTGCAACTCAAGAAGTTTGGGGAGAAAAATACAGTGGGAAAGATGAAATTGGTAGACTTCCCATGACGGACCCCCCAGGAACACAGGGATGCAGGAAGCACCTTGATGGCAGTACCAAGAGCTTGTGGGCAGCAGTGCACCATGCCAACCTGGCATCTGTCAGACCTGACCACCTCCATCTCTGACTCGGGATCTCCCCGGCTTATCCAGAGAGGGTGGCTTCCAAAGACCTCGGGTTCCTAGATGTCTGCAGGTGAAGAAGTCTCTCTCTGCAGGGCTCTTTCACCTCCTCATAAGAGGCTCTACCTGGCGCTTCTTAGTGTAGCGAACAGTTCTGGTAGTTTCAGCCCTCCTGAGTCTTTTGCCTCCTTTCAGCTTCACATTGGAATCTTGCACTGTGTGCGCACCAGTGAGTGAAACCAATACGTGTATCTAGCACTGAATTAAGCACATTTCTCTTACCTATACTAGCAAATTTAATTTCCATGTGAGCCTGTGAGACAGGGACCATAATCTCCATTTTACAGATGTGAGAACTGAGGAAGAGGGAAATTGAGTAACCTACAGAGGGCCACACAGCTAATAAAGGACAGGACCAGAATCTGTAACTTACTATCTGGCTTTCTAATCAGTTCCCTAATCCACTGAGCTGTACAACACCTCATTTATATTCAGTTTTAAGTCTGATGGCATCTGTGGAATTAAAAACACTAAGAGATGAATGGTTTTTAGCTTTAATATTTGAATTGCTAAGTAGCACAGGGTGTTTGTTTGTACTAAGCAGTGTTAGTAGAGCCAGAGCCAGGAGCAGGCAAGCAGAGCCATCGGCTATAGATTGGGTTAAGTGTGGATTCTCATCAGATGGAAGCCAAGCCCTGCAACCTTCAGCCAGTCTTTGAGCCAGTTTCTTGCTTTCTTAGCCAGCAGAAATTCTCAGAGTGTGATCCCTAGGCGGTGGCAGCAGCAATGGGGAGCTTATTAGAAATAAAAATACTGACTCTGCCCTAGACCTTCCCTTCAGGAGCCGTAGCATGGAACCCAAGCCCCTGTGCTTTAGCGAGCCCTCTAGCTGATTCTAGTGAACACTCATGTGTGAGAACAATTGGCTGTGAGGTTTTCAGGTTTTGCTTTGGCTTTTTTGGTAGTTTGCAAAAATGTATTAAAATGGAAAAGATGTTATTTCATTTTCTATCCAGCTGCCTTCCAAAGGGTTCCCAGCTGCATGCTTGTTGCAGAAAAGCTCTAAAATCTTTCAGGATGACAGAAGGCCTCCCTGCACCCCTTCTTAGTCCTTTGCTT